TTGTCCCTGGACTTTATTGCTGCCACCACCAAGCGTCTAACAAAATATAACTGGGAAAGAGCCCACTTGGAAACGTCTTTCCCCCCCCAAATCCCCCCAAACCCTACACCCCCTTTCCTGGGGAAGGCTTGATAAAAATCCAATTTGCATAGGTGAACACAGACCCAAACCCTTGGATCTTAAGAACAATGAAAAAGCAATCAGGTTCTTAAAAGAAGAATTTTAATTTAAGGAAAAGTAAAAGAATCACCTCTGTACAATCAGGATGGTAAATACCTTACAGGGTAATCAGATTCAAAACACAGAGAATCCCTCTAGGCAAAACCTTAAGTTACAAAAAGACACAAAAACAGGAATATACATTCCATTCAGCACAACTTATTTTATCATCCATTTAAACAACACAGAATCTAACGCATATCTAACTAGATTGCTTATTAACCCTTTACAGGAGTTCTGACCTGCATTCCTGCTCTGGTCCCGGCAAAAGACACACGCAGATAGAGAGAACACTTTGTTCCCCCCTGCAACCCCACCTCCAGCTTTGAAAGTATCTTGTCTCCTCATTGGTCATTTTGGGTCAGGTGCCAGTGAGGTTATCTTTAGCTTCTTAACCCTTTACAGGTGAAAGGGTTTTTTCCTCTGGCCAGGAGGGATTTAAAGGTGGTTAGCCTTCCCTTTATATTTATGACAGAGGCCCAGAAAAGTGAATGTTTAGGATTTTCAGTTAATTATTATTAACAAATATGCCGGCTCACTTTTTGTGGGTTGCCATAGCCATACATCAAAACTATTTAGTGCAGCCAGCCATTTTATTGTGTGAGTTATGATATACCCATGAGGAGAAATGTTTCACTTTGATTCTTCTCACCTTTCTAGTGCACTGCATAATAAATGGGCCTAATAAAAATCATGAAATCCTATTCTTGTATTGGCTAGACTCATTACTGAGAACAGTCTGCCTGAGGGTACTGCATTAGTTAAGGCCCCCGTTAAATTCTTTGAAGACTAAGTTATTGCGAGTGGTGTCATTGTGGGAGAGGAACAATTAACTCAGACTATCAGTTGGTGGTAACTACTGCCATTTTTTCATGGTCCAGATTTACAAGCTGCAAGGGTCAAATGCTTCACACCCGTCAACTGCAGACACCAGACACACAGAGGGTCCTGTGGTCTAAAACTCAGAACACTAGACTACAATTCTTTATCTGTCAAAAGATTTCAGAAGTAACTCAGTGTTACTGCTCCCTGGAGTGACAGTCTGTGCTTGTCCATATGATTTTGCTGAGTGAGAGCTTTAAATATTCTCTGAGGAAAAACAGTTGTAGTCTTGTTTTCAAAGCACCGGACTAAAGAGACGAAATGTGAAACCGTTTGGAATCCTTCTTCCTTGTTGTCATCTTTTATCAGTACTTCTTTGCACTGGAGGTACAAGAGCTAATATTGCTTCTTGTTGCATCTAGTGCCACCCTGAGTGTTCCCTAAGTTTTAAAATTAGATACAGAGGAAGCTTCTTGTCAGAGATTTCAAATCCAGTGAACAACAAGCCCCTTCAAAGAAGTGAGCTCAACACTGGGCCAAGTTGCACAGGTCCACCAGCGTTACTCTGGAGCAATTTCATCAAAGTCAGTGGGTTACATTGTCAGATTTATGTTGTTATAAGTGAGATCAGAATTGTGCTTCTAGAGGTTTTAGACCGGCTCTCATTAACTCCTTTTGTGATGACAAAATGTATCTGCTAGTTTCAGCTGAATGGATCTGATGGTTTCAGTGGGACTAGTATTGACATAATGGGTCTGATCGTTTTCCCATTAAAGTGGCTGGAACAACTCCCATTGACTTAAATAGGAGCACCATAATCTCTGATTGCTTTAGTATGGTCCAGTACTACAGTAGTCATTTGAAATTGGTGTGAAAGGACAGTATTCAGTCCAGACAAAGAACTCTGACTCATTGGCTATTTAGATATTATGCTTTCCTCTGAGATTAGCAGTGAAAACTGAAGAAGGGTGAGATTATAGCTAAGAAACAGAGGGCAAAGGAAGGTCACTATATTTTGCATTTTAAATAAATCAATGTTTTGAGCAGAGTGGGATTTTTTTGTAGGGGAAGAGAAGGATCACAAAAGGAAATCTGTCATTTGCAGTGATGTTTACTCCTACCTGAATACAGGTATATTTTACAGTATAAGTAAAGAACCTTGTCAGATGGGTAAGATTAATACATGACTTTTTAGGGAAAAGTCAGATTGCTTGACTGACAATTTTTGTAACCTGTCTCTACTCTGCTTAAAACTATCTTCATTTCTGTTTTCTTTTGGGCAGGGTTATATTGGATATTACCTAGAAACATAACCGGTGGGAAATCAGCTTGGCCACTGGAAAGTGCACTCACATGGATTATTATAAAAAAAAATCACATGCAAGATATGCTGTGTTGTGATCCAGAGGAGTTTATGACCATATTCCTCAGCACATCATTACATGATTCATTCCTAATTTATTTGCATTTTATTGTATTACTGATGATGTGTATTAAGTGATGTACCAACACACATTATTAACGTGAGTCCTTTAGGAACAATGGAGCGCCAGGGCTAAATAAAACAATGTAATGCACATTAGCTGGATAAACCCAGATGGCTCCAACCGCATTCTGTGTCAGTTTTCTGGATGGATAAATTTGCAAGTGGCACCTCTGCCTTTTTGTGCAGGGATGCAGCTAAGCGTGAAGAAAGAGAAGTTAAAAACAGCACACACACACAAGCTTTTTTTGATAGTTTGCTTCATGCCATTTCCATCATCTCATGAAAAGTATATGTGTTTGCAATCAACATTGGGCCTCCGTAATACGGTTGCCCTAATCAGACCCCAAATATTTTGTTTGGTTTGAAGGGGGTTGGAATAAAGGTGACATTCTTCTTGTCAATAAATCACCATCTTAAACCTTAGCAAAACACTTTAATCAGTTCTAGAGGATTTCCACTAGGGCACAACAAATATGTTGATACAAGGGTTGCTATTAAAATTACTTGTTAATTTGACCATTAAGTAAATTGTAATTTGGGTAATATCTTGTGTGTAAATATTGCTTCATTCTGTGATGTAAATGAAACAGTAAAATAGCTAAGGGAAAAGATTGACATGCCACTAACTCTTAAGAAAGAGAAATTATCATTTTGGCAGTACTATCCAGAGGGATAGGAACCAAATGTAACATTATGCTTGCAAGCTTGTAAGAAGAAGGTTATTAAGGAGTCAGCAGGGTTTCTTTTAAAAGGTCTGTACTTTACAATCAAATTGAAGGATACTGAAAACATGTAACTGAAGATCTGTAAGCAATTGTTAACAAAAATCAATGCTACATTTTGACACGGTATCAGCAGGAGGGCGTATGGCTATATCAGGGGTGTCAAACTCAATCTGTGAAGAGGGACAAATTCCATTTTAAATTATGGTCCACACAGTGGGGTATAAATTTAGGATTCTATACTACCCTCAGTCAAAAGGGGATCTCTCACTGATTCCAGTAAGAAATTTGCACAAAGATTGAGGTCAGAATATAACCTTTATATAGTTGCTAAACATTTAGTTAGTAGCTCTAATGCTTATTTGCTTAATGCTTTACTGAAACATTCAGAATTGCTCAGTGGGAAAGTGTGCTCACCTTTAGGAATATCACTATTGCTGTGATTTGCTTCTCTTCTTTCCCCTTTCACCTTTGTCTGTTTCCCACCCTTTCCCTGTCCTTGTATCTCTCCTCCTTCCTTAATTCTGCATTTTTCTTCCTGCAGCAATTCCAGAACCCTTTCCCAATTCCATCCACTAAAAATAACCAGTGATTAAATAGTTCTTATGCTCATGTGTCATCATTAGGTGTTAGGTTTAGTAACACAATAACATTAATAATAGTGGAAAAATTCACACCTTTCAGAGTCATTGTTTCAGTCTGTCTGCAGACTCAGACAGACACCATTGCATTGATTACACTTGGTTTACGTTTGGCAGATTTCTTTCACAGCCAAGAGGAATAGAAACATCCTTTTCAAAGGATAGCTGAGATTCTGCAGAAGCTGAATATGCCAGGCAAATCACACAAATACATGAAGGGCAGGAGCCAGTCTATGGGTTGGGTATTTGGCTGTTCTACTAGGTAAAGCAAGAGATGAAGAGACAAGACTCCTGGGCCAAGATCCGCAAAGGTACTTTGATAGCTAAACCCCGGAATTACGTCCCTAAATCCCAGATACAGGCACCACTGTGATCCACAAAACCTTTATTCAGCTGCCGCCTAATGCTGTAGACATATAAACTCACTGAATGCATAAATTTTCACTGTAAAAGTTCCCTATGTGCCTAAGTTTCTGGCTCTGGGTATGCGCACTGCTGCCTGCCTCTGGGCATCTGGACGCTTATCTCCTGCCTAAGCCCCAGAGTGATCCATGAGTTGGGGAAGAATGGGAGAAGAGCACCTGTCTCATCTGTGGGGCCCAATCCAGTAGGTACACTCAGAGGCTGCCAGAGGAGGAGGGAATGGTGGTCCCATTCAAAATGTGGCCACTGGAGGTGGTGTCCACTTTATAACTTTTAGACCAGTGGTTAGAGAATCCACCTGGAAGGTGTAAGACCCACTTTCAGTTCTCCCTGATGGGGAGAAAGGATTTGAACAAGGGCCACCCATGAGATGTCCTAACCACCGAGCTATGAGTTAGTCCAATGTGAGAGTTCCTCTGTCTCTCCTGTTGAAGGTGTTCCACTTTGGATACCAATTTAGGTTGTCATTGGGTCAGAGAGAGAGCTGAAGAGAGGCTGACTATGTAGCCTGGTAGTTAGGAGATTAGCGAACAAATGTCATGTCCCCCTACTCCAGACACAGACATTGGCTCACTGTGGCCATGTCTATACTACCCGCCGGATCGGTGGGCAGTGATCGATCTATCGGGGATTGATTTATCATGTCTAGTGTAGACGCGATAAATTGATCCCCGATCGCTCTGCTGTCGACTCAGGAACTCCACCAGGGCGAGAATTAGAAGCGGAGCTGACAGGGGAGCGGTGGCCGTCAATCCCGCGCCACGAGGACGCGAAGTAAGTGATTCTAAGTCAGTCTAAGATACGTCGACTTCAGCTACGCATCTTAGATCAATCCCTCCCCAGTGTAGACCAGGACTGTATTAGCATAGATACATCACTCAGTCACACTGTGACTCCTTTGACCTATTTGTGAAACTGGTGCCATAATATTTACTTACTTCACGTGGGTATTTAGAGAATTAATTAAGGATTGTGAAGTGCTTTGAGATATTCAAATAAAAGACACTGTACAAGAGAATGTAAGATAAAGATAACATGAAGAGATAATAATATAATAATATGTAGTGCTTTTTCCTCCATAGATCTCAAAGCACTTTACAACAGAATTGTTATCCTCATTCTACAGAGAGGGAAACTGAGGCATGAAGTAGTGAAGTGACACAGCAAATAAGTAGCAGAAGTGGGATTAGAACCCTGTTTGCTTAACACACTTGTCTAGCACAGTCCACTATACTACATACTGTTTTTTTTTTTATAAAGTCACATGGGTGAACCTCTCTGCAATAGAGCTCTTCAGTGCTGCGTAGAGAGCTTGGGGGGGGGAAAGAGACATTGAAAAATAGCAATGCCCTGATTCAAACGGCAGAAAAGGAATAGAAAGAAAAATGTTTTTTCCCCCAGCTGCAAACTCCTAGCTGTGACTTTCAATAACACTTACCCAGGACCCTGTCAGCTTTTAATTTTCACTTTTTATTTTAAAATGGACAGATAATTAACAGACATTAATCAGCCCCTGGTTTAGATTGTTCAATAAGAAGTGAGAGTTAAATTCTGCTGCTGTTTCTTGTGGGAAGTGTTATTGAAAGCCATAAGTTTCAACAATAAGACAAATCAGGTGGGAACAGAAGAGCATGATAGAAATGCCTGGAAGCCTTATTTTTTTATTATCCTTTTGCTGACATTTTAATTTTGTGCAGCAGAATATTCACATACTATATGTATAGAAGCCCATGTTAAAGAATGAGATGGTTTTACTTACACAGGAAAAGGTCAGAACTTACTTCAGAACTAAAGATCTTTCACAAGATTTGCCCTACAAAATATCCTACACATTAACCCACTAATAGCTCCCCTGACAGAAGCTAAATATACAGCAGACAGTGATCCATGTGACATATTTCTTGGGGAACACTGGTAAAGGGTTAAATATTCAAGGCTAGGGCTAGGAGGGAAAATCCCTCCCTTTAATTGTGCTGCTTGGCTGATAATAAGGTACAGCTGATGCTTCTTAAATTGGGCATGGATGGTATGCAGCACTCTTGGGCCTTAAGTCAAATGCACCTGGAAGAGGATTATGGCTCTTATATATACATACATACTGCTGCTTTTTTCTTTTCATTATTTTTTAGGAAGCAGAATTGGAATGGTTTCCTGAAAATGTGTTTCTCTGACAATCAATTGAGCTAAAGTGATAGGGTTGCTTATACTTACCATTTGGCTAGTTAGAACATTTATGCTTAATGAATACAGTAAGCCTAGGATTTGTATATGCAATTTCTAGCTTCAGTGAGATAAGCTCGGTTACTCTGGAAGCATGGCTTGCTCAGGCTGTTCCAAAATGTGTACATTTCCTGACAAAAGGTCAGCTTGCAGGCTTCAGGTCCTTCAAATTGTGATACGATGGGGTGAATTAAGGCAGACACACACCAGTCCAAAGTTGAAAAGAAGAGAAGATCTAGAAGCAAGCAAATAGACTTAACTAGTACTTTCCTTTGATATTACTGAAGATATAACAGTTTGAATGAGCCCAATCTCCTCCTGGCTCATCTTTTTTTCTTTTGCTTGTTACTATAATGAAATTTTAATTGTGAGCAAGTGACACTATAGCCTGTTTGTTTGTGACTGTGATGTCACAATGTAGCATGCTGACTGACTCAGAGGAGGATCCAAGTAGTAAGGGATGGACCAGTTCAGACTGATTATAAACAGCCCCAACCACTACCTGTGCTTTACATTATAAATATAACTCAGTGCATATGAAAGGAACTGAACTGACGTCTGAGGGCTCTATCTAGTCCTAAGATTGGTACAATGGTGGATGTGTCAGTTCTTCAAATAGCTTGTCAAAAAGGGGAATAAAACTCAGGTGTGGTGATGTAATTCAGTCTTCAGACTTGTTCAGATGCTTAGCCTTTCTACAGAGACTGCAGTTACTACTTGCTGGTAGTTTTGGCAATGCTGACATCTGCCCACCAGAAAGTAGACACAGAATACACATTCATTTCACTTTAGGCCTCTCAGCAGCCACCAAAGGTTCCCTGTGACCAGTATTACCAACCAATGAGTGATCTAAAAACAAAAGGCTATGTTCTAACACCATTCCTCTGAACTTACCCAGGTCTCCAGAAATGTAACTTTAAAGCTAGGCTAGCTCTTCAAAATGCCTGCATGGCTCAGTAATTCCTGGCTGTTCTTGGAACAAATTGGGCTCAGAAATCCCTTGAGACAGCGTGTTTTAGCCAGATTTCCACCCTAACTTTGCAGACTAAAGAGGTTCAAATTAGATCTCATAATATTCCTGACTCCTCCTGGGTGTTTTTTCTAAGCAAAACAAACCTTTCACCCTTTCTCTGTTTACATATCACTAGGTCAAATAGAATGAGGAGATGGGCTACAAGGGAGCAAGACCTTATTTAAACACTGATAGTGCAGTGATTGACATATATGGCAAGAAAGAGTCTGAAAATTCTGTGATAGATATATGGGTAAAAATCATCCCCAGATTCAAAGTCCATTTTTGAGGATAAAGTTAAAACTTTGGGGTTTGATTTTTTTTTTCATATTTGTTGATTTAAGTCACACTGAGACTACAAAATAATAAGCTATTGCTTAATCTTTATGCACATCTCTATCAAATCCTTCATGATAGGGTGTTTATTACAATAACTCTGTAAGTGAGTCATTACTTTGAGAGGTAGCTGCTGTGAGGATTAATGCAGGTGTTGCTACACTCAATAGATGGGTGTCAAATTAAAGCACAAGTTGTAATTCTTGTTACAGCACAAATTGTAATTCCTACCTGAGAACCTCTTTGATTTTTAAGTAGAGCTATTGTAATGTAGCTTTATTTAAAAATAAACACAAACTAAACAAAGACCCCATGTATAAAACTATTTCATCCCTAGTATGCTGTGGTCTGTATATGTTTCATGTTATGTAGTGTATATTTTTAAAAAGATTCTTTTCCTTACTCCAGTAAATACTGAGATATAGATATAGATAGGCATTTTAAAAGTTTGTCCTGGTGTCCAGGAAACAGATAAAAAGAATTAATTTTACTTTCACTTCAGCTCATGCTTTTTCCTCTATATTTTGTTCCTGATGCCTCCTATAGAGCGGGAATCTCCTGAAATTACAGGTTGTTGTGTGATTTTTGCCAATGTGGGCTGAACTCTTGTTAGATTGATACTTTTCACAAGATTGCAGCCATAATCAAACTGGCATGGAAATAGAGGTCCCAATTTGAATGCAATCTTAATGATGGATTTGTATCTGGTCTTGTCCTCCAGCAGCTCTTCCCCTGAAATGTGAAGGGACTTGGAACTGAGTTTTATTTTGGCCCTTCTCTATTGGCAATATTTAGCCAAACCAACATTACTGTGAAATATCCTGAGGTCACGAAAACTTGATCTCTGGACATTGGAAACTTACCATACTGTATTCAGTAATAAAGAAGAGCATTTTTTTTCGCACAAAATCAGAAAGAAAATGAATAGGAGCACAGCTCTATTGATGATAATTTTGAGAATCTGTGGGGCAAAGGCAATGTTATGCTTGTTATTGTTCCAATTTATGTTGTTCTTAACATTAGATAGCATTCTTCTTTCTGGGTGAATGGTGGCTAAGTGCAAAGTGCTATTTCTATATTTGAGCTTGCACCGCTGGGAGCAGAAGGGGTTGAGAGATTAATGAGATTTAGAACTTGTTTATACTACCTAATGACTCTAACTCAAATTTCATAATAAAAAGAAGGGGTGTTGAAAGACCAAAGCTATTTCTTACTGCCTAGAGTGTCTCAAGTTGGGGTAAGACTTCTGTAGAGAACAGAAAACAAATGTGACCAAAAAAACCCCAGAGGTTGTTTCAACTTCAAAGATTGTGCAAGTCCATTCTACATGTTTTATTGAGGTTTCATTTCCTTTTTCCTTTTCTTATAAATTTTCAATTCTCATTTAGTGCAAGTAACATTAGAATATTCTTTTTCTGTAATCTATGCCCAATGTAAAAATAGTTGCTGTTTTATAGCTCCACGTCCCAGAGGAGCCTTGGTATTTGTATTGCTAAGCAGCAAGGTCTAAATAACATGAGACAGTACAGTATCTTTGGATCATGTCACATTTTCTATACAGACCTATAACAGAAATTTAGGTTGACAATTGACACAGTTGCATTTGCCCCACCATAAATTTAAAAAAAAAAAAAAAAGAGATGATCAAGCTCAGATCCTACTGGTTATTATTTATTTACAGAAATTTGGTGTATGTATGCCTGAAAAAACCTTAAACACAGAATATAATGTTCCCTAGAAGAACTGAAATTTGAATGTATTTTAAAGCCTCTATATTCTGGTACTGTCTCTTTAAGAGACAAATGCCTCATATTCTGTTGAGGCTTCCCTGCAGTTGCTCTTAACTCCTAATTAAATATTTATGTGGCTCTGGCCCGGTAGGTCACGTTCTATAATAGCTTTTATAACTTGGTTATTAAATTGCAATCCAGTAATCAAACATTTTTGCACTGCACCCAACAGTATGTATGGCAGCAAATCATAATTTGTTTAATAAATGAGACCCATTGTATAAGTTTATGACACTGTCAAAAGGACTGGGTGACTTAATGGAGAGAGCATTGATCATTAACATGTATGTTTCAAGTCCAAAGTGAAATCCTAAGTGAAACAAAGCCCATAGTCTCTGCACAATTCCTCCATAATGGATAACCACACCATCTAGGTATATAAATCTTTACATGGGAGTTCGAAATGTGAAAACTTCCCTATAAAACAAGTGCTTATTTTATATTCCTCTTTAATAATACATTATTAGTTTAGGATTAAAGAACAACATCAACATTTTCGCTGCATGAATACATGTTGTGATCAATATTAAATAAACACAGTAACTAGTAGTTTTCTCAAGGGTAACCAGATGGTGGCAGTTCCAAGTTTAAAGCATTTATCTTTAAATCCATAAAAGAATCAGAAACAATCAATCCAATGCACTCATTATATCATAAGCTGTATTCTCTTGAACAGGATTTGACTAGGGTCTCACCCCTGCAAAATGCTAAGCACCTTCAACTCCCATTAGAGACACTTGGAGTTCCAGGAACTCCGCACCTGACAGGAGAGCTCAGCACCTTGCATGATCAATACCTAAATAAATATATTTATAGTGTTAGGCTGAGCATGGAACTTGTAAGGATTCTTGCACGTTCCTGGTATTTATTCTTTTGGTACCATGATGGGCTGATTAACAGCTCAGTGCTTTAAAGTGAGCCATAGGTCAGTGCCGAGTATTTCTTAGTCTGATTCCCTGTTTATTAGTGAGCTGAGGAAGTAAAATAATGGTGCAATGTAATGAAAGATGTACTAGTCTGTATATTTTTTTCTGTAAGTTCAGTTAATGTGTTTGACATACAAGACCTTCTGGAAACCAACCAACACCACCACAAGTTCCCTGGCAAGGTACTGTTGAACCCCGTACGCTTCCATACACTTGGAGAATGAATGTCCTTTCTCTGTGTAAAAATTCTGACTCCAGAGGTCTGCTCTCTGTGGGTTTTCATAGTGGTATCTGCATAATATATCAATTCCAATTGCATAGCCATATTCTGCAGAGTCCAAAGACAAAGTGATTGCAAAGGTATAACTGAAGGCAGATTGAGTCAGTGAAAACACAACTTGATTTGTATAATCCATATTGAGCTTAGATTCATAGATACTAAGGTCAGAAGGGACCGTTATGATCATCTAGTCTGACCTTCTGCACAATGCTTGTGCTTCTGACAGTTAGAAAAAACATATTGTAGTTGTAAACTAAGCAGATTTGATTTGGAAATTTTTGTGCAACAAGAAGCATGGAACTGTATGAGGTTATATTTGCACTCATTTGTAGAGTAAACTATTATAGAGTACTAGTTTTGGGGTCCTTCTAATGCCCACAAAAGTTATAAATATGACTGACAACTTTTGACCTAATGGAGAGCCCTCTTCAGATATAAGCACATGATTGTTCATACCAGAGGCCATGTTACAGGAATGGTGCAAAGCAGACTCAATCCCACTGATCCTGCTAATTCACCCCAGTTAGAGGTAAATATTGAAATATTAGAAAACCTGAATTTGACATTGCTTTGTTTGTATTTGTCCAGCCCTTGATTAAAAAAACACCATCGGGTTAAAAATCATTGAAAAAGTGTCCTTAGCTACATTATTAATGACTTATTACACTACAGACCTTTTCATGGTGGGAGTCAATCCTTCAAATGCACCTCACTGTGTGTTATTTTTGCTAACTAAGCAATTTAAAAGGGCAATATGATCATTTAGACATATTTGAAGGATGTAAACATCAAAGATGTAGAGGATTTATTAGGGCAGTACATAGAATCATAGGACTGGAAGGGACTTTGAGAGGTCATCTAGTCCAGTCCCTTGCACTCATAGCAGGACTAAGTATTATCTAGATCATCCCTGACAGCTGTTTGTCTAACCTGCTCTTAAAAATCTCCAATGATGGAGATTCCACAACTCCCTAAGCCATTTATTCCAGTGCTTAACTACCCTGACAGGAAATTTTTCCTGATGTCCAACATAAACCTCCCTTGCTGCAATTTAAGCCCATTGCTTCTTGTCCCATCTTCAGAGGTTAAGAAGAACAATTCTTCTCCCTCTTCCTTGTGACAACCTTTTATGTACTTGAAAACTGTTATCATGTCCCCTCTCAGTCTTCTCTTTTCCAGACTAAACAAACCCAGTTTTATCAATCTTCCCTCATTGGTCATTTTTCTGATTTTCTGATAAAAAATAAAGTTGAAAAAATTATTTTTTATTTGTTTTTACAGTTTAGGTTTCTTTCACCTTACTCGGTTTTTTCCCTTTTCTCCACGTCTCCCACTTTTTTTTAAAATTTTGCCCCTGGAAAGGAGGGCGGTGGTTGTGATGGGGTGAAGAGAAGGGCGGGGTGAGAGAGAGAGATACCAAAACTAATTTTTTTTTTCATTTTGGAAAAAGACATTTCTTTGTCAAGAGAGGTTTTAAATGAAATATTTCAGTCAGCTCTCGTCAAAAGTACAACAATGTATCTTTTCCTACAGGCTTTGCTGTTTCTAGTATTTTAATTATTTATTTCATTCACTGCCTTGCTGCACTGTCAAATATGGAAGATCATACATATTTAATTTATTCTGGCATATCTTTGTTCACTAGGGGCCTGGTCTAAAGCCCATTGAAGTCAATGGAAAGACTCCCTTTAACCTTAATAGACTTTGGATCAGACCCCATGCAATCTTTGAAACCAACACTGGTATTGCAATGTAACTTTACTGAAGAGAAGCTATAATCCCTTCACCACCCCTGTGTGGAATGATTTGGGAGAGTTGTGGTTTGGCTAGCTATGTTTCACCCACAGCAGTAAATGATCAAGCTAATTAAATTAATTTTCTATTTGTATTTTTTATAAATATGGGGGGGGAGGGATGAGAAGTTGGAACAGTGTCAAATCATACAGGATTGGTGAAATTTTAAATCTAAGGACCCAATATTGTAACAAAATGTATCTGGTACAGTGCACAGGAAAACCATGCTTTTCCATTGCTCTGCCTTTAAAAATAGCTTATTTCCTGCTGAAAATGGATAAAATATATTTTCATTAACTACTCTTTGTTCTGGTATTGCTAACTCCCCAGGTCCTCCCTATTCCTTGCCTCAATAAATAAAAAAGTCACTTAGAGAAAATAAAGAGGTTTATAAAAGGATCAGGATAATCTATATGTAATAAAGACTTCTGCACCAAACAACCTTGGCCAGGATTACAGGGGAAGTAAGAGAGGAGACACCTTCTGGCCAACTGTCAGCTTGGGATGAACTAACAGTGCTCCCCTCAACTTTTGTCTGGTTGTGAAGGGAAGGGACAGCTGGGAGCAGTGAGGAGAGTTTGAGGTGGTTTTGTGCAGCAGGGCTAAGTTGTCTCTCCCCAGCTAGTCACCCATCAAGTGTTAAGTAGCTGGCAGGCTCATTAGACAGGAGGAAGCTGCAATTGCAACCTGTAGGTATGGCTCCTGTCTGCCGCAGGCTCAGCTCCTTCTTTGGCTATGTCTATACTGCACACCACTGGAACAGAGCTGCCGGAGCTTTCCCCCACTACCTTCCCCCTGCTGGAGCCTTTCCCTGTTGCCAGAGTCTTTCACTGTGGTTGGCAAAGGCTCCAGCAGCAGAGAGGCATGTAGGGTATATACCCTAAGAATCTGGCCTGTTTACTCTCCCTCACCTAAATAGTGCCTCACTCTCTACACTGCTATTTATAACATAACACCATCAGGAGTGTGCATTGTAGACATACCCTTTGTTTTGGCATGTTCTCTGCAGGCTTTGAGGGTCTTTAGAGGAAGAAGGGTCTGTATGGGATATGGAGGAGCAACCCCGCCTGGGGCAGCAGCTTTTTCTTTCCTTATCCTGGCAGAAGTGGAGCACAATTATGGGAAGGCTCAACTATAAGGAAGACACATGTGTGGACACACAGGAGAGACAGCTATGTGGGAAATTTGGGGAATAGGAGAGAAGATTGCAGGATTTGGAGGAGGAGGAGAAAGAGACAACATGGAGAAGAGCCAAGAAGAAGTTTTGGGGTGAGGGAGAGAATGCAGCAAATTTGGGGAAGGAAGAGGAGAGTGACTGGAGTTCTGGTAGAGGAGAACCTGGGATTTGGGTGGAGAATTTTGGGAGAAGTAGACCACTGGAGGAATTTGTGGGAACTAGGGGAGTCTGGAAAGATGTCACTTTGAGGGAAGCCTAGGGAAAGAGGAGAGATGAAGTTTAGTGTGAGGGTGGAAACTCATCAGCACACCCTCTGAAGATAGTTGCAGCATAGGATGGGAGCCAGTCAAAGACAGCATCATAGGAAGAGAAGTGGGAGGAGGCTAAAGAGGTGTTACCTGTCAGCTCTGAGTTCTTGGGGAACCAGGGCGCAGTACCTAGCCCCTCTGATTCATGAAAGACCTTCCCCATCTTCCCCAGCCCCTGGTTGAACCAAAGCTGATCAGAAGAAAGACTTACAAAAAGAAATGAAAAGGCAGTGGAAGACGCATCTCAACCTCTCCGGACAAGGGTGACAGATTAAGGAAACTCTCCTAGCCTTATTTGCATTGGAGATGAGACAGGGACACATCTCCATTAGCATACAGAATGGAGAACGGAGATTCCAAGGTAAGAACCACATGAAACTCTGGGACCAGAAAAGCAGGGAAGCACTGCATGATGGGGAATCTCTGATCCAGATGTTAATGAACCTATGCCTACACACACCCAGCTCAGTAGTTATCAGACCAATTCTAGTAATAAACCCTTTATTGGTATCCAAAATACTGAAGCTCCCTAATTGCATTGTGAGCTCCCTCCAAGGAACACTGCCCATAGCCAGGAATGATCAGTTTCTATTGTCTAGCTTGAACAATATTTTATTCTTTATTTTTGATGCCCTAAAGCTCTTGCATTCTTAGAATTCTTCTAATGCTTTTTTTGATTTTAAGTAAAAAATCAATGTACATGATTAACAAAAGGCTTCTTTCTTTGAGGGATTCTATCAATTAAGTGCCTCTTTTTAACAGAGATGTTTAATTCTGGTGAATTATGTTTTGTTGATTGGTTTTATATTTCTAGCACCAGCCATCATCACTGAGTGAAAAGGGAAGGTTAAAAAGGAACCAGGTATCACAGCACATATATGTTTAAATGATGAACCACAGATTAAAGAAGTTAGACTTGGTTTCTAGGTATTTTCTCCTTTCTGACATAGAAAAGGGTAATAGAGTAGGAAGATAGTATTATATCTATATACAGAATTAGTGAGAGCATTTTTGGAATACTGTGTCCAGTTCTAGTGTCCAAACTTCAAAAGGGATGTTGAAAAGTTGGAAGAATTCAGAAAATAACTACAAGAAGGATTCAAGGTCTATAAAACCTTCCTTGGAAAGACTAAAGATCAATCTATTTATTTTATTACACCCCAAAAGTATGTTAAAGAAACATTATTCACATTGCAAAGTCAAGCCTTCATAAATTAGCCAATGCCAGAATTATGGTTCCCTCTGCAACCCTAACTCAACCCCGTTGTGAGTATGCATTATGACAGTCTTTAATTAAATAGCATGTGACTATTTTTTCCAATTATCCTTGCCTAACCAGTCAAAGTCTCCACTGCTCAGGTGTTTAATCTCATTCCAGGTCTCTTGGCCCAGCTAGTGCTAGTCTGTTCGTTGGGGCTCCCTGTCTAAGTCCAGCCCCCTTTCCTAGTCCCCCCCCCACACCCAATCCCAGTCTCTTTGCCCAATCAGTTCCAATTCCCTCCAGCCCCACTTTTTGTCCCCAGTCTCCTGGTCCACTAATCTCAGTTCCCCTCTCCCAGCCCCTTGTCCAATTTGTGTCTCTTCCCAATGGCTCCCAGTCCCACTCTGATGTTTAATCCCAGTCCCTTTCCTGGGTTCCTCATTCAATCTCATTTTCCCACATACCCAGCTCCTCCCAGCCCCTCCCACTCTCCCCACAGATCCTCAGCTGATCTCAGTGTACCCTCCAACCCCAGCCTACTGTCTCCCAACTCCCCCCATTTCCCTCACTGGTTCTCAGTCCTAGTCTCTCCCACCTCCCAATCTCCTTGCCCAACCAGTCCCAGTGTCCTTCCATTTCCAGTTACAGTCTCTCTCTCTTTCCTCTCCTCTTCCTCCCCCTGGTCTGGATCTTGTCCCCTTTGCATATGAATCAGGTGGCTTCCTCCTCCATGCTGCCGAGGTGCTTGCAGTGGGGTAGTTGAGAGCACAAGAGAAAAAGGCAGCCTACTTTCAGTTCCAGTACCTGGCCCCACAGTGGCCTGGAGCAGCCAGGAGCAGCCATTCCAGGGAACTATATGGGGTGGAGGGACTGTGCTCAGTTGCTCTGGGGGAATAGTTTATGTGCAGTCCAGTCACACATAGGCACTATGAGGGGATGGGCCATGCTCAGCTGCTCCATGGGATGGTCAGTACTACGAGCTGTGAGATGCTTGAGCATGCTCAGAGAGATGGAATCCTCTGGAAATTTTAGCTACTAAAATCTACTGAGTATGTGCAAATTAAGACTTTTCGAAGGCTTATACTAATTTGTCCAAATTTGGGCAGATTTTCACAGAGACAGCAAAAGACACTTCCCTGACACAAATTCACACACTAAATTTTAAGTCCCTGCTGTAAAGCACTACAGCTCCTCAAAGAAAAGGTTGCCAGATTTTTTAAAACATTGCAAAACTATGTATCTTCCTCTAGTTTCATTTGCATTCTCTCAGCTGAACAATTTTAGCTGAAATTTTCCAAAATATTTCATTTTGAGGCAGCCTGGGGAATTTAAGCTCCAAATCTTTAAAGTGAGGCAAAGTTATAAGCAACTGAAAACAAGGTCTTATACTAGGATGTGCTGGGCATCTTAACAATTGATGGTGCTACCAGCCATGCCCAAAAAAGATGAAAAGGTGATTTGATCATGGTCTATAAGTACTTACATAAGGAAAAACTAACAAAGGCATAATCAGACCCAAGAGCTGGAACTTGAAGCTAGAGATATTCAGACTTTTTTTTTCCAAAGGGGGAGAAGGGTTATTTCAAAAATTGGCACAGCTTACCCAGGGAAGTGATGAATTTTCATCTCTTGAATCAGGTTTGGATGTCTGTCTAAAAGATATGCTGTAGTTCAACCAGATGTTATGGGCTTGCTGTAGGAATCACTGAGTGACATTCTATGGCTCATCTTTATGCATGAGATTAGATTAGACTAGATGGTCATAAGGATTGATTCTGGCCTTTATATCTATAAATCTACAAATTTATGTGGATAGACTGTCAAGAGATTTGTCTGTCGTCATGACTTAAGTCTGGGAACAATTCTGCTTTAATGGAAAATTGTTACATTGGCTTCCACTTTCTTAAGACACAGGAGAGGTAAGAGGTTAACCTTAGTGTGAATACTTTTAAGAACAAAATGTAGCCACAGACTCAGATTCTTGGGCATCCTCCAAATCCTACTTGCTAAACTACATGACTCTGTACAGTTCTTAGAACATCTCCACCTTCTGACTTTCCATCAACTTTATACCAGAATGAATTTGGCCCATTGTAGCTAATATATTGGATGCTGACTAAATAGTGCTATGCTGTTGGAGATGAAGGAGTCGCTCTTATCCTCTTGGTTATTTCCACATGTGATGAACGGCAGAAGTTTTCTTCCTGTGCTGTTTATCTGTATTTAGAAAAGAAGATATTATCTGGTGATACAGTAGATGAACCAAGTGGCTATCAATTTATTAACTGTCTTTTGGATTAGCTGTTCCCACTCCGTGATAGTCCTCTTTGTGTCAGTACTTTATGTTGTGGTGATCTGCTCTGGGTCTTCAGCCATTTTCACTAGTTCAAGCTGAGGGGAGCTGTTGCAGGAACATGCCAGAGCACAAGTAGACTCACGCTCTCCAGGATTCCCAAGGGACGAGTGAGCTAGAGTGAAGGGTGTTGCATTCAGGGTGTTTGTACCCTCTTGTGGTTTACCAAATTGAGTTAGAAAACTTTTGCTAAGCCTGTACCTATTTGCTTTTGCTATAATTTGAAGAGAGTAACTGTGTAAACCAGAAGGATTGCCCTTTTGGTGGGATTCTGCAGATTGTTCCAGAACTGCTGGTGAGTCTTGGAAGAGCCAGCACTAGTGGCAGGGACTAGGAAGTGCATTGCTGGGTCCCCACTACCAAGAGTGGTGTCAGACACAAGGTCTGCACCTGGAATGAGTGACTAGAGGTGCAAAGCCAGGGACAGTGCCTAAACTCTGCCCAGCCCCAGGAAGCTAAAGGCATGTGGGATTCAGCATTTAGATCCCCTCACAGCAGTCTGAGTGCCCAGCAGGGAGAGTGTGACCAGAACTGTTACATGACAAATCTCCAATCCTAACCCAATTGCACTGGATTTATCGTGATCAGGAGAGTGTCTGGCTATATTAGTTGACTTTACAATTAACTAGGATAGTCTAGTAGTTGTCTTGGTGGCAATAAAATCCTGAGCTGCTGATCATGACCAGCACAAACTACTGTAGTGGGAAAAATCTGTATTTCCACTGGATTGCTTAAGTGAGTAAAGTGAACAAGAATTGGTCTATACCTTGAAACAGTTGACACTATTATTAGCACTCCCAGTCAACAGGCAAAGGACTTGGAACTTAAATGAAGTCCCCACAGGTTAGCTGCTACCCTGATTATTTTGTGGATAAACAGATGACTTCCATCTTCAGTGCTATTACTGAGCATCACCATCTTCATTTTCAAAGCAAACAAGAGAATTGTTATCCGAATCCAATGCAGTTTCCACTGTCTGATCCTAGAGGAGCTGACTGAGTCGTCTTTAGGTCCTGATCAATGTATTAATGTATGAATCCTGGTTCAGATTCACACTGACATAAGAAGATTTATCTTGACGCCAGGATCACTAAAGACAAATATTTTGTACAAGGTTTCAGTTGTATGTTGACTTGCAAATTCACAGACTCTGAGAAGAAGTTAGGTCTTTGGGATATTTAAAATATGTAGTGCTGGCTGTTTATCAATGAAGAAAACAGATGTTGGCAAACTGTGTACCAAACTTTTCAACAGGATGTGTGATTTATAAAGCAACTGAAAAAGGGCTGTAAATGGGAAAGAGCCTTCTCTGATACACATTGTGGTTTCATTTGACATTGAGCAGATTCTAGCATCTCTTTCCAAAGAGATTTCTAGCAAACAGTTTTCTAGCAAATTTCTGTAAGACACTACTGCTCGTCAATTGACTTCCCTTTTAGGATATATTGCCAGACTTCTAGAGTTACCCTGAATTTGAACTATTGCATCTTAAGACCCCATTTACGGAAATAATAATTATTGTAGAATGAAGATGGGGGCGGGGAGGAGGGGATGATTGCATTTCTTATCAGCTATTTAATAAACAACTTTTCCAATGAAACATTCTAAAGTTCCTTTGAACCACAAAAACACAGAGCTTGCATATTATATATCATAAATCTAGCTTCATGGTTTCTCCTAAGGGAGTGAAGGAGCCTATTTTTTATCTTATTTATACTGGATTTACAGTAATTTAATTCCATTGCATTCAGTAGACTTACTCCTTATCTAAACCAGAGTACATGAAAAAAAGAATCTGGATGATTGT